ACCAAATTGCGACAACGAGGTCAACCCACTTAACTTGCTGAACCGGAAATGCGTTCGGGGACAGCTGTTTGATGACACACAAAAACTAGCGCACGATCGTCTGACGCTAAATCATGTTTGGGCTTGTGCTATTGTCTATTGTGTGTATGTAATGCTCGTGTCATGGGAAGTGTGATATTCCTAGTTAGACTCCTTCGGTTTCCGGTGAGACTGCATCACAAATTCCTTCCAACCAACTTATCCTTCGAAATGGACAGTCATGCCACGATATTCGAGTTTTTTTTCTTCATAAAAATCCAACTACCAGCACAATTTGTACATGAAGAAAGACTGGGTCTCGAAGACCCTCTTTGTGATATTGACGATGAGTAGGTCGTCGAAACTACCAACACATTTTGAATGTGAATAAAAGTGATGTAGTCGATTGCAATGGCAACCACAAGTTTGTTTCATCGACAATCCCACTCCTAAAATGTGCTACGACTTTCCTTGGAATTCACGTCTACTCCAAGATTGAAGGGGACTTGTGAGAGTCCGGCGTGTTGGTAACATGTCAAAAGTATACACTGTACCACCATAACCCGGGTTCGATTTCATGTTGGAGTGCTGACGAGGTGGGGTCTAGTGACCAGGCGAGTTTAGTCGAGTCCAGCCGAGAGGAGGGCAGCTTTGAGAAGACGGGCTATGCGAAATGCAAAGGAAAAGTGTGAGGCCTAGTCACTGGGTTGTGGGCGCATTCCGCCATCAGTTCTTCAGCAAACGATGCGGTTTAGGCTGAAAACAACTCCTATTCAATCGTTTGGCCAGTTAGTTTGACTCGCCACTTCGCCTCGAAGGCAAAGCTGATTGGTCGGGTGGAACGACTTTGGGAATTGATTTCACCGGAAACCGAAGTAGGATCGATTGTCGTGGCGCGAAGAGTGTTGCATCGTACGGCTCAACATGCTGCAACTCGGCTGAATCCGTAATGAGTCGTCAACTGTAGCGTCGTTACAGGCAGACCTTGTGACAACAAGCATGCCTACTTTACGAGATGGCGCAAGGATGTGGTAAACGCACAAAGGCAGAACGGTGAGGCTCTGAGAGGCCTTGAGAGGATGGGCGACGAGACAACTGCATGGAGGATATAGAGTGTGAAGGGAAATGTGAAAATAGTGCGTGATGTAAGCGGCGCCGACGGGGCAAGTTGCTCACAAGAAATAGTCAAACGACCTGAAATGAAAGTGAATAAACTGACCTCAAACTGACCAGTCACAGCCAACGCTAGCAAGAAGCAGGGGAATGTGATCGATCGATCTATCCTAATTTAAAAGGGACAGGCGGCATTGGCTCTACTCAGGCAAGTCTTATCGATCGGTCCTTTTGGGCTGAAAATGCTGGTCGAGGCATGAAATGAGCAAGATCCGACGGCACTCAAGCCCTCAATTACTCGCTTTCTCACTCATTCCTTCACTTGTTGACTCAATTGTCTACTCACTGTCCCACGCATTCACTCACTCACTTACTCACTTTCTCACACATTCACTCAATCACCTTCTCACTCATTAATTTACACGTTCATTCGGTTCCCCACACATTTACTCATCTATTGATAAACTCATTAACTAATTCCTCACTTTTTACGCATTCTCTCACTCAATCACTAGTTCACTCACATTTTCAGTTTCTCATTCGCACACACAATCATTTTCCACTTACTTTCTCACAAATTCAATTTCTTATTTATTCACAAACTCATATTTTTGCATATTCACTCACTCATTTACTCGTTCATTAAATTACACACTCACTAACTTAACCAATCATTCACTCACCAACAGAATTTCTCACTTTTTCAGTCATCATTCACTCACTCACACGTCTTTTACGCATTCTCTCACTCGCCAATTCACTAACATTTTCAATTTCTCATTGACTCACCCACTTTTCGGGTCTACTTAACTGATTGTGGGAAAACTTAATTACCCTTTAGGCGATATAGAATTTATCCCATCTACAGTGAGCCTCAACTACCCACTTATAAACTTTTAGGAAGATGTCCCAACCTTATTTCAACCACTTTATTGGAAGTTATTTGTTGAACAAGAACACCGCACGACCCGTTTTTGAATCCCATTGCAGGTGCTGATGAGAAAGGTAGGCAAGGTCAAAAATGCCGGGAATATTTTGGGGGACAAGAACAAGTGAAGTCCATTCTTATCGTCAAAATTACCCACGTCACCCTGAACAACGTGTGTCTACTACGTTCTTATTCATGAATTATTGATACTTCCAAAACAGAGCCATACTAAAAGTTTTATTTGAATCGTCAACATACAGTTTAAACTTGTGCTAATTCTGACTAAGGCTTTTGCGGAGGCCTGTGTCTTCGAAGGCAGACACTTGGTCAACTCAACCATATTATGCCGGTACTCATGACTTTCCATTGTCATGCCAATACTAGGCAACATGCCTATGAAGTAAGAGATAGCTTGAGTTCTCAGGAAAACGTGAAGCTATTACTGGGGGAACCAAAGCAGTAGTATGTAAGTAGTAAAGGTTCACAAAGACCAAGATGAAACTTTCATTCGAAACACTTGCAAGAATTTGGTTCTTGCAACTTAGTCGTGTTGTCACGGTGACTCCGAGAAATGTAGGCCTTATTCTTTCCTTCGTCAGTGTTGTCATGTCCTCTCGCATCAGCGGACCGCTGATTGTGGGTATCTTTTCAGACGTTTCGCCGGCGTCATTGTCGGCATCGTCAGTGCGTAATGCTGGTTTTGTGCGAGAGCGGCTAGTCAAATTGTTAGGCGTCCACGAGGAAAAAGCGGCTTTCGATTAATCTCTTGAGAAAATAGTGTTTTGAAGACTTATTTTTGATGAAAGTGCACGAGTATGTACATTAGATCGTCGGTCGATCTCAGCAGAAGATGACGGCCGATTTCAGTTCTTCTGCAATCGTTTGACATTAATATGACGTTCAGGTTGACGCAGTCCACGAGGCCTCCTCCCTCGCTTCGAATAGAAACGAGCAGAGCTATCGTCAGTCATACCTGCAAAAGTCTTAAGCTAATACTGAGTCAAAAATACTGTCAAGCTTTATCCTATATGCTCTATACTAACACAACGAAAATGATGTGTATATCTTTATTGAAATAGAATGATTTTGTCAGTTCTCTTATCCTCGAGATTCTGTGTGCTTACTTTCACATTGTGTGAAAGTGTTTGGAGAAGAGATTCGAGGCTAGTTGTAACCACAAGACGACGGCGGATTCCACTTGACCGACCGTCGATTGGCTGTGCTGGAACATTGTAATTGACGCTGTTTCCATGGCAATTGCCTCTGAGTAGATGGTATCATTTTTGCAATCATATTCTTCACTTGTTGCTAATTGTCAGCACGGTGACGAGAAATCGGCCGTCCTTTTCTGGTGGGATCAACCCACGAATCTCTCCACCGAACACTTTCACTCGAGATGGAATTGATCTCAACAATGCTGAAATAAGAGACTTCTCGAAAGCCAACTCTTCTTCACGTATGCTCTGCGCGTGAACAGCTGTACACAATACCGGCCAAGAGTGAGAGTAGCCCCATTCGTCTTCCGATGAGATGGGGCATTGAATCTTTTCTACGAAGTGAAAGTCTTCACAAAAATGTCCGTTTTCACAACTGAAATGTGTCACTTTGAACAGTTGACGAGGAAGCACTACTGAGCATGCTACCGGCAAAGCCTCACCGAATGACGAAGTTGCGAAAACGAGGTCAAAGCAATCATAAAATTAAGTTAATCTCCAAGTCTAGAAGCATGTCTTGCAGAAAAGTAATGGCTGAACGGCTTGTCTTCGATGCGCAACGCTTCAATTCTCGGCGGCCGGCAGTTTGGTACACGCCACATAAGACCCCTCGACAGGAGTGCATTGACGAAGATCGGATTAAGAGATCAAAACTTCACCCTCCGCAACCGGGCCACTTGTATGAATGGGTTCTGACACGAATGGGTCGTCTCGACGCCTATCCGTATCGAAATTAAATGGGCTTGGGCTGCTGCATTGGCTGTGAGTGGGTGTCGAGGTAGAAAGACAAAGACGAGACCAAGTTGACAACCTTCTATGAAATGAAAGTGACCGTTTAAATATCAGTTTGGAGTGCTGCGTTGCTCCTCCTTATTGTCATGGTGACGCCATGTTCTTGGTCGAAATCCACTCGAGTAGACTAGCTTAGTTGAGTGTGTCTCTCTCGCGAGGGCCCATTGTTGAGGCCTTCCAGAGGGCTTGCTAGTACAACCCTTTGGAAAGGGTGCCTTCAGAGAACTTATACCAACCGGTTCGGATTTGGACCACTGATCTTAGCCTCGTCTTCTTTTTTCACGGCCTCACTGATTTCTGCTGACGACGCCTCAACACAGTCACTGGCTTGGCGCTCGATTGTGCAACTATCTTTCACGCATATTCGGGCCATTTATTGTCGCTTTCAGCTTTCACGTCATCTGTATGCACTGTTGCTCACACACAAATACACACAGACACAGGCATAGATACAGATTCCGACATAAACACAGACTCATGCACAGGCACAGACACAGAATCATGAATAGACACAGAGAAAGACGCATACGCCGACAGACACAGACCCAGGCTCAAACATAAACAGAGACACAGACGTGGATTCAGGCATGAACACAGACTCAGGCACAGACAAAGCTTCGGACATAAACACAATCTTAGTCACAGATTCATTCACAGACAGACACAGAGACAGAGACAGACTCATGCACTGGCACAGGCGCAGAGTCAAACATCAACACAGACCCAGATTCCGACATTGACAGACTCAGGCATATACTCATGCATGGACACAGGCACAGACTCATGAAGACACAGAGACAGACTCATGCACAGACAGGCACAGCCCCAGACTCAAACATAAATACAGACCCAGATTTAGACATAGACAGACTCGGACACATACTCATGCACAGACACATTTACAGACACAGTTCAGACTTAAATATTTAACTAAGATACAGATTTAGACATAAACACATACGCTTGCACAGACACAGAGACAGATTCATATACAAACAGGCACAGCCCCAGGCTCCAACACAAATACAGACCTAGATTAAGACATAGACAGACTCGGACACATACTCATGCACAGGCGCAGTCACAGACACAGACTCAGAATCAAATACAAACACAGTCACAGATTCAGACATTAACACAGACGCATGCACAGACACAGAGACAGATTCATATACAGACACAGGCACCTATTCATGAATAGACACAGAGACAGACTAATACACATACAAGCACAGCCCCAGGCTCAAACATAAATACAGACTCAGATATCGACATAGACAGACTCAGACACATACTCATGCACAGGCACAGTCACAGACACAGACACAGACTGAGACTGAGACTCACATATAATCACAGTCACAGATTCAGACATTAACACAGATTCATACACAAATAGCCACATACTCAAACTCCAACAGAAACACTGA